ACTTTTGTAATAGTTGTCAGTGCTTGAAAATACAAGAGTTTGTATATATATATATATATATATATATATATTTCTTTTGTATATTTTAAGTAATCCTATACTCTCTATACTATTGAAAAGTTGTGAATATAAAATCTTAAAGATGGAGAGTGTAATTAGGCCAAAGGAAAATACTTTTGTTTAACAATGCCATATAACACCAACCTCTAGGTTATAATTAAAAGTGGTGTCCTCTCTCTCTTTTTTTTGTTCTTGTTTAATGATGTTTTCTTCTCAAGAAAATAGCACAGAAAAATAAAGTTGATGTAATTGTAAGTAAAAGACAAACCAATGCTGATGTTGTATGACTGTTGGTGATTGATATTTGACAATATTAGTAATGATGTTTATTGGAAAATTCATCAAATACTGATGAAACTGATATTTAAAAATGAGAGAATTGTAAACTTCAGCTGATACATTATTCACTGTACTGTACCTTACAACAAATGCATTCACAGTCAATGCTATAAAGATACAAATCTCACAATAACACTAATTGAAAATTAAAATTGTTTAGTAAAAATGTCATTCCTATAAAGAATATTACATAAATTTGTGAAGTTTTACATAGGCTTCAACTGTTTATTATAAGCCTAATTTATTAAGCAGTTCTTTATAAAAGTTAGACATATATGTAGACTATTTTTTATTTACTTTGTATTTACTATATATGACTAGAGGTAGAATATGAGAAATATGCACGAGCAGTGTTACTGGTAGAAAGGGAAAAGGTTCAGTTGATAATTCAGTGACAAAGTATTGAGAATAGCTGAAATTTCCAAACATTTGGCTGCTTTCATCTTGAATTTTTGTTTATTAATTCAATAATTCATTCTGGTTTATCCCAATATTAATGATAAGAAAATGGTTGTTCTGATGTGAATCAAATTTTATTTTAGAAGTTTGGACACAATTAAAATGTAAATATGTGACAAAACAGTTTTAAGCAAAACTACTACAGTATTACTACAGTTTTGAAACACCTGAGGATTTATTATGGTTTTGAATAAATTCTAGTGACAGAGCATATTAATGTTAAAGTATTCTGCTAGATATAAGGATCTGCAAAGAGAAAACAATAACACATTTCTTTCTGCTGCACTGAATTTTCATAGATCTCTACATTTGTGGCTATGGGGATTCACCACAGTTGTTTGCTTTTGTTTTCAATATAGTCAGTTAATGGATGAAATTCAATACTGTAGACATTAGAAAAGATTTCTTTGAGAAAAGTTAATCTCACAAAAGATATGGTATAGTAAGTGCCTTGTTCAATTACTTCATGTTAATTATAGCATAGTTAAAATTGTTTTTACTGAGAATGTGAGGGTTTAATTTTCAGTAAATATTACTAGTCCAAGGTTATAAGGTACCTGAATATATACCAACTCACATAATAATAATAATAATAATGTAATTGTGCCACCTTTGTTTATTCTTAGATTAAAACAATACAACTTGTTTTATCTAGGTGTTAAACATTAGGAGCAAACTTTTATTAAAGTACTACTATATGATATTGGTATAAGTATGAGAATGGTATAAGCCTGCACTTGTGTGTTATCCATTAGTTACAAACACCTTTTTTCTTCTCTATAAATCTTACAAATTGTTTAAAAGTTTCAACACTATTATATGTGTGGTCCACAAAGGGAAAAAGATAAAGCTTCATGACAATTTTTATGATTTATCTCAGTTAAATTAAAGTTGTGAAAAGTAAAGAGTACTCTTAAATTGGAAAACATCCTTATTTCACAAAACATAGAGTAAAATTGGTATTTCAAATATTTAACATTTAAATTATTATATTGAATTATTAATGCTATAAGGTAAAGCAAAACTCACCTGAGTGGAATAATACATTGTCTCAAGCCCAGAACATTGAAATAATAAATGTTTTTTTTTAATTGTCATTTTTCTTGCACTGTAAATTGTAGAGATAGTTTTATCAAAGTATACATTAAAATGGGCATCAGTATCCAGTTCTATAAAAACTAAATATGATAGATCTGTGTAGTGAAAATGTGTGTTTTTAAAGTTAAAGGGGAGATTTTTTTTTCTTCTAGGATTCAATAATTCATGCTCTAAGAGCTGAAAAACAGAGATATCCAAATCACTTCTGGAGACTGTGAAGAGTTTTTCTGTTCAGATCACTTTTGGAGAAGTTATCAGTGATACATCTTGCAAGTCACTCACGAAGCATGTTGCAAGTAGTGTACTGCCTGTCACCAAAAATGTAGTGCCAAAAGAAAAATGTTCCAACAGGAAACAAGACATTAAGCTCACATTTGACACAAGATGATAACATCAGCTTTAAGTAAACATAGTACTGTGATTGTGTTGTAACCTTTAATCTAACTGTACCAGTGCTGCTGTTGAAAGTAATTTTGTAATGTTAAAAGACTGATTAAGTATTTCTGTGAAGGGCTTCCACACTGTCACATACCTGTGCTACATTCTTATTGCCAGGTATACTAACAGGAAGTATTCCAAAGTTATATGTTTGTCTACTGAACATACTTGATATTTCAAAGTTATGTAATCACTTGAAACATATTTATTTAATATTCTAAATGTGATTTGAATTATGTAACTCAGTATTCACTATGGTACTCAAATCTGCTAAAGTTGCTTTGTAAAATTAGAGAAAAGAATATGAAAAAGTAGTCAAAGTCACAGCCAGAAACACACCAATAGCTTGTTTATCCCTGGACGGGATTATTCAGAATTCTCATTGGTATCCTTCTTGACAAATAAAGTACTGTATATATTGTAAAATATGTACATGGAAAGTGGTTTTCAAGTTGTTTGTACAGAACATGGTCTGAATAAGTGTTTGTCACAAGTAGAACTTATACCATTGGTAATTCCATTACTTTTTAAGAACATGTATTTTGTTGCTTGGATTAGGGATCTGTTGACATGCAGTTAAAAACTAGGATTTCAGGAACTATATTGGAATAAACGTTTTGAAATTGGCTTCTTGCAATTAAAATAAAAAGAAAATACCAGAAATAATTGTATATTCATACATATTTTATGTAGGTTTTATACATTTACCTGTAAATTGTATTATTCCAGTCATACTGTCAAACATTTCTCATGCTGATCTGTATTTATGCAATAATTCTTAGTAACTTTTGAACTTGTATTTAATTTTTTACTTACTTGGAAGTTGCTAAATTAAATTAGTTGTTGATTTGTTTAGTTTTCTTACATTTTTAAACATAGTGCAATAAAAAACAAATACAAATGTGTATACAAATGTAATTTTTTGTTGTTTTTTTTACTACTGGTTAAATTAATTAAAGTGAAACACCTTTTAAAGTCACAAGAAGGTAAGACCACCTCTAAGTTATTATAGTTTCTCATGTTTGTAAACCCTAAAGAGCCTTTAAACCACTGACATTAATTGAAAGTTTGAGGTCTTCTTAAGAAGCAAATGTAGATTTAACCCTTTCTACATTTTTGTGAAACTAAATTTTATTTTTGAGATTCAAAAACAGTTAATACTTCTGTGCCTGATAATCACAAACTCGCCAACTCATTTATTTCTATGTTGGCCAGGTGGTTAGGGCGTTCGACTTGCAATCTGCGGGTCACAGGTTCATCACACCAAACATGCTCGCCCTTTCAGCCGTGGGAGCGTTATAATGTTATGGTCAATCCCACTGTTCGTTGATAAAAAAGTAGCCCAAGAGTTGGCGGTGGGTGGTGATGACTAGCTGCCTTCCCTCTAGTCTTACACTGCTAGATTAGGGACGGCTAGCGCAAATAGCCCTTGTGTAGCTTTGCGCGAAATTCAAACAAACCAAACCATTGTTATGTTACTGATTGTGGCTTCATTTTAGATATGTTAAAGATCACATTTTCTGATACAAGACAAAGTGAATGTAAAATTAACACCTCATAAATAAATTTATTAATCATATATTATATTGTATTGTTAAAGTACAAACTGAATATGCTAAGTAAATGAAATTTAATATCTTTTCTGCATTTATTTGAATGACTTCTTTAAGAAGAGGTTTTCTACTAAAATCAAGTAGTTTATTTTAATTGTTCATTATGGTTTTAAATTGTCAGCCATCTTGTTCATATTATTAAACAAAGAAAACACTGAAAGTTAATGTTTCAGAAAGTATATTTGAAAATTAACATCTCTTTTATAGTACTTAGTTTCATCTATACTAGGACAGCACTTCTTCAGCAATTATAACTATGAAATAATATAATTCATTTGATTTAAGTTATAGTTAAGGTATGAAATGTTTTGAAAGTATTCTGTGATTGGTGTAAATATTCATTCCCCAGCCCAAGAACTTCCTAACTTATAAAATATAAAGTTACTTAAATGTGTTTGGCTGTTAACTTGGTTTCAAACAGTTGGTCATCTAAAAATCTGCACATCTGTGTAATATACCTTGTAGATGTATTTAATTTATTCACGCAAAGTAACATTACTAGAAAAGTAGCTGAAAATGGGGAGTTTTGGTAATAGGTTTGTACAAGTGTTATGAGAGTGAGTATTAAAGTAGAAATGGTAATAGGTTTGTATAAGTGTTATGAGAGTGAGTATTAAAGTAGAAATGGTAATAGGTTTGTATAAGTGTTATTAGAGTGAGTATTAAAATAAAAATGTAGTGTGTGTTTGGTCACATGTGAAGTGAAGCCTGCGTTATAATCAACATTTTTTTATTTGAGTAAAATTATGTTTGTGTCCTTGAATTTCATATATATAAATTAGAAGTGGAAGAAGCTGAGCAAATGGTTGTTTCCAGTAATTTAGTTAGTACTTGATGTATTAGTTGAAATAATTAGAAGAATAAGTAATTTACATTAAGGAAAATTTACAAAAATATATGAAATCTCTTGCATTAAAATAATGTTGGAAATTTTATATGGCATTACTTTAAACAAAAGTTACTAACTTAGAACGTTTTTCAGTATAAGAACAAAAATATACTAAGATTTGTTTTCTACTTTTTTTAATGTATTTGTGGCTTATCAGTGGGTTAAATATTATGTAGAAATGATTTTGCTAATACTTTAACCCTGACTCAGTGTATTTTTGTTTGTGGTCCAATAGAATAGTTTTGTTTGAATACAGAACTTAAGTTTTTTCATGCATTTTAATAACCACATATTTTTTTATGTTAATTTTTATTCAAATATTGAGCAGAATTGTTAGTTTGTGTTCTGAAATCCAGATAAAATTAGAGTTGACTACACAATTGATTTGTTCCTTCTGAGTATTAAAAAACTGCAATATATCATGTATGATTTCTCACATTGCTTGGTATGTTCTAGGCTTGTTAATAGGTTGGAGTTGCTCTGGTTATTGTTTATTTTATTTGCAATATAAAGCCTTATTTGTAAAGATGTCCATTAAGCTTTTCTTACACTAACTTTATCTTAATGAATGATTTTGAGAATAAATTTATTTTAGTTTGGAAGTAGTTGATATATATATATTTAAAGTTTTATCTTTCCACTTGGTAATTTAATACCAAAATATTGATGAGTATTCATCATATACCACTGGTAAGATTTGATGTAATACACTTCAACTGACAAGAGTCTAATTTCTTAATTCAAATACACAAGCTTTCATTTAACATAAATGATTTCCAGCTGTGCCAATTGACCCCGTTCCTTTAAATTGTTTACCATGTATCAGAATCCATCAGCTGTAATAATATATTTAACTTTTTTCTTTTTCTTATGTACATATTTCTTTTAATTTTGTTGTATGTTGGGTGTGAAATTATGTGACTGTGAAATTATAATGAGTGAAAGCTTGGAAGTGAGAAGTAATAAAATCAGTTTTGACTCTCTCTTTTTTTTTTTTTTGAGTGGAAAATCATGTTCAGTGTTATTTTATACCTTAAGTGATAATCTGGTGAAATAAACTTGGTCTTCTAGGAACTTGGCTGTGTAATACTTGTACACTCTTGTATTTATTTTGTTTAGTATTAAATTCTGAATATTGTGTAGAAATAATGCAAATAAAAGTTAACACTTGGTTAATGCATTATTATGGATGTGCATGTAAAATAGATGTAGAAATGAAGTATACTCATGAAATATATTTCAAATCAAATTATTTAAACTGCTACAGGAGCTTATGTAACAAAAGTACAGTTATTTTTTATTTTTTTGCTTTAACATCAAAATTTACAATGATAACAGTGCAATAGGGGAGCTATAGAATCTATATAAAATACTAAAAAGAGGGATATTAACTGGACCATTCAAATATTAAAAAGACATGTAAGGGAGGCTTATGCATTTTCTAACAATCTCATTAAAATTCACTTGCTTAGTACCTTTTTTGAATTTTAATTTAAAAAACTGATATAAGGTTGTAGTCATTAATCCAATAGTGATTAAAACTTTGTTTTTATTTTGAAAAATATTAAGATAATAGTGGTAAATAATTTTTAAAGACCAATCATTGTTGGACCATCTGGATTTAAATATTTTTGTAACATATGAAAATAAGATGTGAAGCTAATAATTGTATTATAAGCTACCTCATGATTGTACATTTTATATATATTGGAAGAAAAATAATTTATTCTGACAGCCAATGGCACAGCGGTATGTCTGCAGACATACGACATTAGAAATCGGCTTTTGATACCCATGGTAGGCAGAGCACAGATAGCCCTTTGTGCTTAATTACAAACAAACAAACTGACAGCCAACCTTTTGTAACTAATTTTTATACAAGTATAATTTTTGCTACTATTATCTTAACCTTAAAACATGTTACGAAGTAATACGCTTATAACAATTTGGCCTTGTGATAGAGCTCTGTATTTCAGATCAAGCAAGCTGTGTTTAAACCCTTGCAATGCCACAAAATGTTTTCTGCACCTTTAAGTTGTAGGTGCATTATGAGAATTACATATATAAGTGTTAGGAATCTGCTGACTGGATGGCAGTAGCTTTACCATAAGTACAAATATATGCATATAATAATAATAATAATAACTGATAATTAATTTTGGAGTTAATGTGACATTTTCCCCAACTCTAAAATGTGTTCTTTTTATTTTATTTACACATTAGAACAGTTTAGCAGAACAAGCTCTCCTTCCTCCAATTGTGGAATTTTGTTGAGCATGTTTGTCAATGTGCAATCCAAATGGTGCTGTCCTTAATTCTGAATCAGTGAACACAGGGAAGCAACCAGCTGGCAACAACCATTTTTACTTTATCAATAATTATTGTGTAAATTTTTTCAACACTAGAATAACCAATGTAAATATAGTTATTTTAATACTGTTACTTCAACTTCTATTATATGTTTAAGAATTTTTATACCAGCCTTGTCCTGACTTTTCACAATACAATAATCTTCTGAGGGTTCTTTTAGTAATTTTGCACAATTCGATTTAACTTAAGTGGCATCTGTCATTTACAAATTATTTTTGCATACACTTTAGTATTTCCACCCTTTTTTTTTAGTTGACTATTCTGTTCCACCTTTCCCTATCAACATGAGGAGAGAGGTGTTTGTATGAAGTTTGGTAGCCAACATCCAGAAAGCTTTATCTGTTTGGATGGACATTTTGTTATCTATAGTCCATTGGCAGAAGCTTTGGCTAGCTTCTTGCAGAACCTCCACCACTCCCATTGGCATGCAACAATGATATCATTAACATATGTGTATGATGTCAATCCAGGGTCACCTGTGCAACTGCCCAGATCAGCTATGTATACATTGAAGAGGACAGGACCAAGTAGAACTAATTTCAGTGGTTTCAGGTTTCCATTTACCAAATTTAAATTGAGATCTCCTGGTGTTTACCATAGCTAATATCAATATCCATCATATGAGAATGTCTGAGAAAGTTGATATCCTGCATATAGAGTTGTGCCAGATTTGATATAGGGGTTCCTCTTGCAAGCTTCCCGGTTTCTTCATTTTGCTTTAACCACACGTGGCCTGGCACATACATCCTATCATACAATTTATTTGCCTCCTGCCATCGATCTGAGGGCCAGCCACTCTGAATTTTATGCATCATTGCCTGTGAGTCAGTTACATATGTTATGTTGGTAGCACAGTCAAATTGTGATTTATTGCTTTTGGCAATCCTGAGGAGAGCTTACTTTATGGCTTTCAGCTCCATCATTATGTTCCTTGTGAAATGTTTGAATGCATAATCAGGATTATGCAAAATATTGTTACTACATCAAACAATTAGTGCCCAACTAGTTCTCATTATCTGTGATTTAAGAACCATCTTTAAAGAGGTGTTGACAGGTTGTTTTTGCTTCGTAATCTGCCCAATCCTACATTTTCTGTCGAAGCTGATTCCACAGATCCAATTGGTATCAGATATTTAGTCCACATGGGGCATCTGAGATTTGGTGGTTACAAATTATCTTGGTGATGAATGTATAGAACCTCTACACCCATGACTGGCCCCTGAGATGCCTTTTAGGTAATCCCTTGTGTGGTTGGTGTCTGAGGAAATCATTATGAATCTAGAATGTCCCACTTGAAAGGGGCAGAGATATGATGATGACATGCATGGTCTTTATACTGCAAGACCCTAGGGAAAAATTTTACTTGTAAGTGTTGTTAGTGCTTTGCGATGTTGCTGAGGCATGTAAGGTGTAATAGTGCTTTGACAGAAGTGGCTTAAGTACATCTTGTGACCAATATTAAAGAGGTATTTTATGTATTTTCAATCTTATCTAGCTATGTAGCATTCATACTTATCAGGGTAGTGCATAATCCAGGATAGAGCAGATAATACTTTGGTAGAACCAAAGCAGGTAATATTCTTCAGTTATATTTCCTACTGCAACTTTCATTACATTGAAGCATTTGGTAGCTCTGGTTATTAAGTGCTGTTAATGTGGCTGGTGGAGTTGAGTTGTCTGTCAACTAGGTTCTTAAGCGTTTCTGCCATTAAGATAGTAGTGCCCACAAATGGTTAATGATGGTCTGTCCACATCAGAATAACTGTTGAGTATGCAGAACGTAACTGTGGCTTTGACAGGATTGATGACACTAATCTGTCATTTCACAATTTTCTCAAACTACTAAGGGGTGGTTGAAATCTTGTTTTCGATTTCAGAATTGCTAAAGCGTCTGGTGGAGACCAGAAAGTTGTCAATGAAGGTTAATATACAGTATTTGGTTGGGTTATCAAAGGAGGCTAGATCCATGACGTAAATGTCGAAGAGGACTGATGAGAGTGTTAATTCTTGAGGCAGATCAGTATCAATGGTGATTCAGCATGATTGCCAGCTTCTGTGCTTCATGATGTATCTTCTGATACTTATTACAGCTACAACCCATCTTACGCATATTACATCTGCAAGGGATAGTTTGTAGTTGCTCAACAGAGTAGTGGATTACATGAGAGTGACGATATAGCAGTTTTAGCTGAATCAGCATCAACTAAAAAATCTACCATGTGGTGACTGTGTAAACTTACAGGCTCTTATGAAACCATACTCGGCCTTGTAGACGTTTTATGAATCAACAACAACTGAAAAAAACAGAAAACTGTTTTTCACAGATCTGTGGCCAAGCTTGATCAGTGGATAACTAGTTTGATTTAATAAATCTGACAGAATATAACATTTTTTTCTTTCCCGAGCCTGTTACTGGTTATTCCGACCTATTCTGTAAATGTTTGGGCTTCAGTACAGGTGGAGGGAAAGGAAATGTATGCCAGAAGTGACTGAATTGTTTATGGTTATAGTGTGTGTTCCTTCTACCATTCTGTTGATTAGGATGCATCTCCATCCATACATCAATGCAGCTGGTGAGGCACGACTTAGGAATTTTCGGTTCTCAACCAGCAATCACTTGGACCAAGCCAAGTAACTGTACAGCATTTGCTAGTATGATGATATCTGATGGAGCTTTCGGGTCAGATAGGACTGGTCATCCAGGTCATGATGGTGTATTATAGTGCTCATTAGAAAGTCCCTTAATGAAATTATTCATCAGAATATTCCACCAATCTGCAGAAGACATTGCTAGGTATGTATTTCATGTAAATGACATAGAATGTTTGCATACAGAGCCAGTCCCTCAGTGCTAATCCTCTTCCAAGCCGTGTACTCGGTCTGATGGATTGCCTTATCCTCCACTGAGTCAACCTGGCGATGCAGTCGTTTTTCTGCTCCCCAATCAAATGTTTGACAGTTTCAAGGGCTGGAATGTCTAAGCTCACGACCAGGCAATGTCTCAAAGTCCAAACCATCCATTCTAGGCAATGACCTACCTGAAACATTTTAGGAACTAATCAGATTTTCTTTTGCTGTTCCCTTGAACATTGACGGCGTGTTTTGCTTAGTCTCGCTCACAGAGATATGTCAGCCAAGTCACAGTCTCTCTCTCTCATGATCATGAAGGATGTCAGGAAGAGATGCTGCTGATTTCCTCAGTTCCGGATGTAAGCCACTCATATAGACCCTGACAGGCGTCAGCCCCTGATTCAGGTCTAAAAGATGATAAGCTACTCACAGTAACTCGTCGTACAACTTTGCATGACCCAAGGTGTCATTAGCTGCCACTTCTATCCCGGAAGTTATCTCACCACGTAGATCATGGTCTTCACCAGTAGGTGCCCATTGCTTCACTTGCCGGAGAGACAGCTCTAAGTGACTGAAATCATCCATCACTGGCATGTAGAGCCTCTATCAACTAATTACCAGTGGTCTGTGCTCTGACTGGCAATGGCCTATGAATTTGATAGAAACCTCTCCATGTGGTCTCGACCTCGCTAGGTGCCAAACCATTCTGTAGTATGGCTTTAAAAATCGTGTTTCGATACTCTCGGTAAGTGCAGCACAGATAGTTCATTATGTAGCTTTGTGCTGAACAACAACAAAAAACCTTCTCAGAACATTAAAGTGTATGCGAAGATTGGTTCAGTAGAATAACTACTTTCGTTTGGAACACATTTTTATTCAAAGTAGTTAGTCACTTGGATAGGTGTGTCATTTAGCATGTTACATATTGTTACTACAGCGGAAGTCACGTGACTCTGGTAACACGTGATGAGTGTCTAAAAGACTCGCGAAGACGCTAGCGTTTGCTAGACATGCGCTCTTATAGTATTGTTGCGTCAGCGAGGTCACGTGACTGGTATCACGCCACCCGTTTTCTAGAACTATCCTGTTCCTTCGGGAGTGCCCTAGCATTTGCTAGATTGGGGGTGGGCTGGTATATATAAGATTGTCACGGCGTGACGTGACAATGTGTGTAGGTAGTGAGTAATTGAACTGCAGTCAGAGAGTATTGTTGAAGTTAACGTTCTTGTTATAGCGTTTGTTATAGAGCGACTGTTGAAAATAAGTGTATCGGTAAAGTTATATTCAGAAAGAATAAACCAGTTTTATTAAGAAAGGACTTGTGTCGCTAAAGTTTCGTGGGAACGAAGTTGCGGAAAATCAACTAACGAACGGAGACGTAACATTACTTTTTTAACAAATTGCAGTTGTGACAATATCTACAGTACATTAAAATCGACCGGCGAGAAGTGACGGCATCGATATATAAATAATTGTAGACAGACAGAGATGGACAATTGAGTCAAGCGCGGTAGTAAAGTGCGTGAATCGTTGTGAATTATAGCGTGTGTTTAGGTAAAAGTGACTGTGGAAATTAAGTGTATATTGCAAAGTTGTATTGCGAGGGAATAAACTAGATTTAATTAAGAAAGAACTTGTGTCGCTGAAGTTTCATCGGAAATAAATTATACGGAAAATTAACAAACGACCAGAGAAGTAACAATATCATTCATTTTGACTGATATAAATGGGAAAGTAAAACTTCTTCATATCTTGTCAACTTTCTGAGGTTAGAAATTAATATGTGAAACTCACTTCTCCTTAACACTAATTTTTACAGCACTGATTAGAAACTAGTTTTGCCATTACCATCATATTATTATTAGCCACTTGAGTAAATATGTAGTATCATGTATCTACCAGTAGTGCTACTGCTTTAGTTTCTGTGTGTGTGCAAGAATTATGAAAGTAAACCAAATACAGAAATAAAGTAGTATTTCTGTTCAACCAATAATTCTTTTAAATAATTTTAATAATAACATGGGTATTTTTTGTATTTTTACATTAGGATAGAGGGCAAAAAGTTCAGTATGTACTCTGTTTTCAAATTTTATATGTAATTGGATTGTGCAGGAAAAAACTCAGAAAAAGAAGTTTAAAATGGCTGCACTTACTCAGAGGTTGAAAGAACTTGATGATATAGAAAGGGACATAACAACGGCTATGCAGAGTGCAGGTAAACATAACTAAAGATTTATTTATGCTTTAGTTTTAACTTGGAGATCTGAGAAAAGGAAGGTCAAGTTCGACTAGGCTTAGCCCAGTATTTTATTATTTCGGCTAGACTAGACCTATCTAGGTAAAATATTTGTTAATTGTAATTAAGCCTAGTAAAATGTTAAATCTAGTACTAGCATTAATATTACTAGTAAATACTTCAGCAACGACCTTAGTACCTCTGCTTTAACAGCAATACTATTAGTATTAATGTTACTGGTGTTAGTAACAGCTAGATCGTGTCATGGGTTTTGGGTGCCCTAAACGAACCCACTGTTTCAGTGGTTACGAGTTCCATTCCCCTCCTCCCCACAAAAAAAATAAAAACAAAATAAAATAAACGTCGTACAACAACAATAACATAAAAGACAAGAAAAAGAACGTTGGAAGTAGAAATAATGTATGTGTGTTTATAGCAATTTATGTGCTAAAAAAACTTCCTAAACATATTTAAAAACATGCGTCCTTGGCTTATGTAACTCAGACCTTTCACTTTTTCAGCATGAATTTGATAGCTGTGAAAATGAGGTTGCTTTATGCTTTGTCATGTGCCCTACAATAAATTATGATTAATGAGCCCAATGAATAATCAATTAGCAAATTCTAATAATCCCCCAAACTCTAATTATGACCAGACCTAGCTCATTTCTGTTATTTGAGCACATCAGCTAAGGAACAAAATATATCTTTTAGTTGTTTGTTATTAAGCACAAAGCTACACAAAGGGCTATCTGTGCTCTACCCACCATGGGTATCGAAACCCGGTTTCTAGTGGTATAAGTCCGCAGACATACCACTGTGTCACTGGGGGGCTTATTTGAAATTAAGCACAAAGCTGCACAATGGGCTATATGTGCTCTGCCCACCACAGTTATCAAAACCCGGTTTCTAGTGTTGTAAGTCTGTAGACATACCGCTGTGCCACTGGGGGGGCTTATTTGAAATTAAGCACAAAGCTGCACAATGGGCTATCTGTGCTCTGCCCACCAGTTATCAAAACCCGGTTTCTAGTGTTGTAAGTCCGTAGACATACCGCTGTGCCACTGGGGGGCATATCTTATAGACAGAATAGTTCTTGAATGGGCCATCTACATCAAGGAATAATAATTTTCTGTCAGTTGGATGACTTACAACTTTTTAGTGCTGCCTAGGTTCATGAAATTCACAATAATCCTGGGTAAAAGTTTGTGAGGGAGCCTACTTTACCATGCCAATAACATACTCAAAAATGGAATGCTCGAAGCTGAGCTTTTGTAAACAAATACTGCCATATTTCAGGCCCTTACAACAAAGCTGTACTATCTATATTTTGATATTTCATATATAAATATCAGAATTTTTTAACAATCAGAATCTACTTAATATGTTTTCCAATCTTGCAAAATAGTGTGTTTACAATATGAATTTTTCAAGCAATAAACTTGTTTAAAATTTTCCCATTAATTTAAAGGTGGAATTAACTTGAAAAATGTTAAAGGTTATTTAGTGGCATGATAAAGTGAGGGGTAGAGAAGTTGATAGATGAATGCAAACAAATTCAAGTAGAACTGATTAGAGAAAGAACTAAAAATTAAATTTGTTGTTTGGAGTAAACCAGAAGTGGTAAGTAATTACTGGAAGAATTTATGAAAAAGGTTGATTTACCAGAAAAGATTTTGTGAAGAATATGCAATAAACTTATAAACAGTTATGACATATGAAATTACTAAAAAGTGCACAGAACTATGAAATGACTAATCAATTATGGGTAATCCAGCACTCTTTTGATAAAATGTATGAAAAAAAAAAAAAAAAAAAGAAGGAAGAAGACAGGAGAATGCACAAGAGAGCAAAGATTTTCGGGTGGGGGGGGGGACATGCTCCTGGACTCCTCTCTCCATTATTGGACTCAAAATGTTTTAGACATATTTTTCCTTTGTGTATTCTTATCCCTGTTTATGTCCAATTATGAAAATAGTTTCTGATTAATCATTCTCAAAAGTTAAATTTTGCTTCATTCTAAGCATTAAAATTCGTAGGTTCCATCATAATAGTAAAATAAAGTTTCTGGAAATATAAAGAAATGAAATACATCAAAAATAAAATATTGATTATTTTAAATTTTGATGTGAATGTATTATAATCAATGAATGAAAATTCTTTTCCTTCTTCTCAAAAGCATGAACCACAGTAGAAGAAGAACAAAAAACTATTTTGGACTAAGTAGTTTACACAGAGCACCTCAGTGTAATCACAATAACTGCAAGCTCCCCTGGACCATATTATTTACATGTACTGATTGTCTATATATATTATTTATGCTATGTTTGTCAACCCTTAACTTTCATACAGACTATAATGATCTTTAAAAATATATTTTAACAATTTATTTTTATATTTTCTTTATATTAAATCATATTTACAAATTAACTTTTGTCACATAATGTGCAGTTAATTCTGTATTAGGTTTGTCTGAATATCTGTTAATAAATAGTAGCTTTTTTATGATGCTATAGTGCAGGGTGGTCTAAAAGCAGTAGGGCCTTAAAACATGTATATAAATGTATTTCCTGACAGCATTTGCTATCTAGATAACACACTGTAAGCACAAACATAAATGTTAATGGAGTTGGTCATTCTGTAGAGGTTTATTTCATTGTTAATTGTTGCTGGTATTATTTTTCTAATTATTTGAAAAAAATATTTATGTCGAGAATTCTATTATTTCTGGGCTACCTATATTCCTCTTGAAATGATGCACAATGTAATTATAATTTCACTGTGACATTTTAATTAGACAGATGACAGCTTCATCATGTTTTTATACTTCTGATCTTTTTGGCTCTTACTAATATTAATTTCATTCTTATGAGGATGATTTGGCATTGTTAAGTTAGTATTTGGAATTAGGATTAATCTAAATCTCCTAAGCTGGCCAAACTCTTGAAATACTGTTAAGCTTATGACAAGAAATATTATAGATAAAAAAAGTACTTAGCTGATTATTCAATACACGAGCACTTGGTAATTACATGTAAAATATTAATCAGTGCCACCAATACCTAGTGTTTACCCTATTTTGTACATGAAACAAGAATCATAAAAGGTTCTAACATATTAGAGGTGGAATTTGCCTTGTTACTATGATAAATATTTCGGTATTATTTGTTTAGGCCAAGCAATTCTGGAACTAAGTAAAGACAAGCCAAGCCTGAAGCAAGTGGAATCTCAGACATCGAATTTCGTAAAAACTTTAGAAAATGTGGAAAATGGTTTAACAAAGCACATTACTTATTTAACTCAAGTATCAACAGGTAAACTGATCTTGACAATGTGCATTTAACTACATTTATATTTTAATATAAAAACAACTGAAATATTTTGTTAGAAACTCACTAAAATATTAGGAATAAATGTCGGTGAGATATTTGAGTGACCAACTGTATTATGTGACTTAATAAATAAACATATATTTTGAAATAACATATTAAACTACATTAGTTTGGGGAAGGAAAACTGTTGGATGAAATTTCTAACTGTAACTTTTAATTTTTTACCAGTAGATGATCTAGTAATCTTTAATAAAATGAAAACATCAAACCTACATTTAGTTCAGGACAAACTGTTGTAATTCAAATTAGTGGTATAATCTATGAAGGTGGGTGGCTCTAACAGTACACCTAAGCAAGCTTAACCCTTACTGTGGAAAAATAGAATATAAGGTTGCATTCAAGTTATCACCTTATTTTATTATTGAACATCTTATATGTATGGTCATCATGTAAGAATTGAACCATAGCATGGAAATATCTATTATCAGAGTTTTTTTTTTTTTTAATATAGTCAGTGGATTAATCATTGTTGATCACATGCAATGGAGGCAGAGTTTGGCTAATTAAAAAAAAATATATACCAACCAGAAGGGTTATCAGAGTTAGAGAAATCTTTGTGGTCTTGAAAGAGATGCATTGAAAATTTGCATTATCTTTATTGTTTTTCTTATATACTTTTATGGTTAAACTAGGGAGTCCCAAAGAATTATTGTTCCTGGCCATGGAAGCATGTGAATACGAAATCATAGTTGTGAATATATGTATATATCTTGCATAAATGAAATACTAATTATTGTACACCAAACAAGAAATGGAAAACGTTTACAGCACTAATACATGCTGAGTTTGCATGATTTATTTCAAGGCAACTGTACTCCCACAAGTTTGAAATCAGCTTTAAAAACATTGTGAAGATCACCAAAGCCCTTGTCCACCATTTGTGAGCAAATGTTAAAACCAAAACCAGGGTGTTGGTTTGAATTGGCTGGACCAATAAGGATTAGTGATACATCAAATGATAACTCTCTTCATTCTCTCCGTTCCTGACTATTTATCCCTTGGCAGTCTTCCTTTGTTTGGGATCTTTCCCCTTCTACCTCACCAATTGGCTTTGACTTTTGATTCAGTTGGCTTATTTCTCCTTGTCTTCTTCCTCCCAGAATTTGTTCTAGGTGTCTTCTCATCAGATTCGACTCCTCACCTTTTCCCTCGCATCTCGTTTTTGTCAGCCATTGGAGGAAATCCTACAGTCGGGCATGAGGACGACACCTACTACATTTGTCTTCCATTATTTATACCATATTGCAGTTTTTTCTTCATTGGGTTTTCGTCTTCCACCTGTGGCCATTCTTTAGGCTTCAGTGCAACTTTGACTGGGTAAGTTTATATTCATACTTTTCCTTTCACTTGCCTTTGCTTCATTTACTCATTATATGGAACCTGCTCTATGGCAAGTGGTGCTTGACCAGATATTCTTCAACTTGAAATCTGCACTGTACAGCCATTTTTACTCTCGCTTTATCTTCCATGGCTTCGCAATGCTCACTGTTCCACAAGAGTGTAGGTGAATAACCTCATGATGTAATTGGTTCATAGACTTGCTCGTTCCAGACCGTACCACCCATGGACTGAATGGGTAAAGCAAAAGGGGATAGCTGCCCATTCCTGTCATGCCTTGTATTGAATAAATGGTATGGTCTGCTTTTCAAAATAGGGCTTCATGGTCACCCATTGCATTGTCTTATGTGATGATGTTCCACCAGACTTTCCACTGTGTTTTCACCCCCCTTCTAGTGGAATGTGGGAGTCCTTATCACTTTCAAGTTCCACGCCGTTGGGGTGGTCAACCGTGGAGACACGCTCCTGAATGAGTTCCACACAAAGATGGCTATAACTATTCATTGCAGAGTAGGGTGGAAGTGTTTTGCAGGTGTAAATGACATGCTATCCTCGAGTATGCAATATACACTCACAAAGGAGTGAGACATCGAATTGCAGTTCACCCCTTCGATTGGGAGAGCCCTCATCCTACTCCCATGTGGATATTGGTACCCCATGGCTGGGTTTTTGATTTAGAGTAGAGCCAATCAACATAAGTCCTCACACATGTTTATGGTTATCTATATTCCTCCCTAGATCATACTCCTCCTTTGTTGTGGGTCACAGTGGATTGTTCCATTTCTGTCCTTTTTGCTATCCATCATTGTATCTTATTCTGAGTATGTTATTGCTTTATGGATGGTTCCAGTCAGTTTCGCTATTGGGGGAGTTATATTATATAGGCATACTTTCAATACTGGATGTTGGGTCCCTGGATTGATAGATCAAAGCTAGCAAGTGTGTCATGCTCAGGAGTTGGAGTGGTTCCAGATTCCCCCCAGTTTCTTGAACTTTAGGTGAAGATGATATGATCCTCATCCTACCCATGCATGGATGTCAGTTCCCAGCAGCATGGGTTTAGATGTAGTTGACTTCCAAATATGGTCCATTGCACCCTAGTCACTGTACACCTAGGGGCACAGCTATTGTTTTACCCACTTTTATATTTGGTGGGATTGAGTTACATATCTATTTACATTGTTAGTATCACTATCCTAGCACAGTTCTCTCCCACTTGATGTGCTCCTCTCTTTTTCCACCCTCATCTCCTACACATTTCACGGATGGGCAAAGAGTATATCTGGTTCAGAAGTGGTGAGGTTCCCCTCATCAGATATGACTCTCTCATTTCCAGAGGTATACTTTTGAAGCTTTCGGGGGGTACTTCTGTCATTCTTCCCACCCTTCCTTCCAACTTTTCTCTGGTGCTTGCGTCTTCTGCCAAACCTCAAAGTGGTGTAGGGAGTCACATGCATCACGTATGTCACACTTTTATTGATGGAGAAGTGATGCATGATGATTTACATAAGAGACATGTTGGAATCATTCGATTTAATATTTTAAAGAAAAAAATTGCATATAGAGGGCTGCACTGGATGAAAATTGCTAATCTTGTGAGGAGAGGGAAGTACCTATCGGAAATACATTTTTAGTATAGGGAACTTATAACTTATTCTTTCCTCTGAATTTATCCACAGTTAACACAAATGTCAGGCCTTTTGACTTATTGTGTTATGTTAGCTTTCAGCATTTAAACTGTGTGTAACTTTTAATAATAAAATACTTTTTTTTTTTAGTATAGGGTGGCCATCAGTAGTGGGTAACTTTAGAATATCAATGCAGAAACTCATGGATACACCATTTTCCACCAAAACTTTGTGAAATAGTTAAAATAAAAATATCTCTGTGTAATTAAAATGAGTGTTGAGATTTGGAAAGAAAATATGACACATCTAAATTATACATCTAAATACGATCTATATAGATTTATTAACATTTGATTCATGAAATATGGAATTGTAGCACAATTACAGTTAATTTTGTTAATCTTCTTGCTAGTAGCAGTCCCTAATATGCTGATGGGAAAAAAAATAACTAGCAAGCATTTGCTAGTGGCTTCATAAGTTAAAGTCAAGGTCTGTCTAGGTTATCATCATTCATGTGAACTGGTGTATTTATCTCCAAGGGGTTTTAAAAAATTTATTGTACAACAAACCAGCAACACTTAAGTACAAGTAATAGATGTAGAATATTTTATGATTAAATATAGATGCATGTTTGTAACAACCATCTCCCTAGCCACATATTCTTAATAAGAGTTTGTATAAGCCATGCATGTACTAGTTTGGTATTATACTAGTGTAATAATGAATTAGTAGATATACTAAAGCTAAAGTTATATTTATGGCAAATGTGCCTCTATAACTCTTAAAATATGTGCTATAATCTTACATTTTACAACAAGTTTTACTTCTGTTTTTGTTGCTTATATGGGTAACTGCACCAACTGTGCTGTGAGTATGATTGAAAGAAAAGGATTTAGAAAGTCAATGTTTGTTTTTCAGGACAAGCACATGAAGGCTCTAGTTATGCTAGCCAGAAAGACCTCAGCATGGCTTGGCACAGAATTCATCATGCTCGTGCTCGACTAATGGAACTGGAGAGGTTAAAAAATAAACATATGCAGTAGCAGCTAGAATATGATGGTTAACACTTTATAGCTTAACTAAGGGTATGAACATTATCTGAACTTGTGTACTGATGAAGGACTACGCACTATCTGAGAAGTATTCCCACTACAAATTCAAGTATGATGCGAAGGATCCAAGATATGTACAATATCTTTTGTTTTATTTTTGAAAACATTTGATAAATACATTGTGTAAAAGCTTGGTTTTTCTTTTAATTTGGCTAAGTATGTTTTTTATAAATACTTAACTTCCATTTATAAAAAGTATAATATTAGATTATTGTTATATTTTTATTTCTGTAGTTATTCTGTGCATTGTAAATAAAATGGATTGTCCAGTCACTACAGTTTTTTACCTTTCAAGAGCAACAATGTTGCAAGATCTTACGTTTTCAGCAAATTTATATTAATCTTTTATTTGTATAGAAGTAAAACAACTACAGCAAGAAATAATTAAATATTTTAAGTAGGAAAAACAATATAGAATTGATGATTCCATATTTGTGTTTGGTCATTCTCCATTAAGTAGACCTTTAAAGTATTTTTATGATACCCTTTAGTGTTCGAGGTTGTATAATTTGGTAGACATAGAAAATATTTTACCTGTATGTCCAATCATTGTCTAGTTACAAAGATACGTGTGTGATGTTAAGCAAGTTAAGATTTCTTTCTTCAACTCTGTTTATTGAAATGTTTGTAGATACTGGCTTTCTCAAATATGAGGTACAGAAATTGTCATCTTTTTTTTAGTAATCACTGGAAGAAAGCTACAACTTGTTATTATTGTTGCAGGTTGTTACATGTACATTAACATATAGCTTACAAAATTATTTGTTCTTACCAATATTACTTACAAGTGAAAGAAACTTATAAATAAATGTTGAACCTGAGAACAAAAACTTTATTAGTTACTACATTCAATATGTGCAAACTCTCTTAAGATTAGCCTTATAGCAAATGCATTATTTATATACACAGTTTATAAAAATTTCAATTTCAACAATTTCCATGCATTACTATTGAGATAACATTTCCTATTATATTTTATCCCTTACTTCATCATACTAGCAAAAAAAGATGTATATATTTTTTATTGTTGGCAGGTTGGCTGAGATTTTTGCTACAAATAAAGCTATATAACAACCATGCCATTAAACTGCATCATGCTTACACATTTTTTTTTAAAGTTTTTCCCAAAACAAATTATTTACATATACTACATTTCCTTGTCATTAAAACTTTTTTTTTTGTCAATAGAATTATATATATATATATATTTATTTATTTATTCATGCACTAAAGAAACCAAAACCATTCAAGTAAACATTTAATAAAGATAATGACAACAATTCTGAGAAACATCAAGAAATAAGATGCTGTCAGTGGTGTTAAGGAGGGTGTGGGAGTCTAAAGGACCTCCCCTAGGAAAAGTTTTGATTTCAAGGACCTTGATGTATAAAATACTGTATTATATAATGTCAACCTAGGCTTCAATGCTGCAATCTGGAGCCTTTAAGAGGTCTCATTCATGGGTGTACTTGATTTTCTTTTCTGCATAGAAATCTTTAAAATAAGGTGCAATTAATTATTTGAAACTAAATCGATTTCTATTATTTTGTTCTGTATCTTTTGAAATCTTGAAAATAAATTGCTGGATATTATGTACTTAACTATGCATTCATATTCCAAGATGTGTCATATATGTATGTATGTGTGTATACATACATACATACGTGTGTATATATATATATATATATATCCACACACACACACACACACACACGTAAATATCTATCAAGGACGACTTGTTACAACTGCACGTGGTGCCACCTCAATTCTATAAAAACAATGCTCTTTGACTTATTTTTTTTTCATTAGGTCTTAAACATGAGGGATCTAGATGATGCAAGAGTCAAAAATTATAACTTAAAATTTGAACGTGTTAGAAAAGTGAAGGTGTGTATTTAATAGTTATAATTTAATTTGAGAAAGTTTTTTAATTTTTTTTATTGACTGATCTATGGAAGAATCAGAGCTTGAGGTTTTTTGGGTTCAACTGGACACACCATTGTTGGCACCTATTGTAAATTTTTTATAGAGAATTGAACTTTGTCAGTGGCAAGAAATGAGTCGTGAAAAGCATCAAACATCAAAGTAATAACATTACGAAAGAGTATGTAAAGGAGCAGACTAAGAACAGAGCCTTGTGGCATACTGGCTAGAATTTGGTATTTGTCAGATAGGAAATTTTAGTATTTAACTTTTAAAATTTCTTTTACTTAGGAAACTAGAAATACATCAGATAATTGAAATAATGAAAATTGAATTTTTTTAGTTTGCATCTTAAGCTATTGTGCCAAACTGAGTTGAATGCTTTTTTACATTATGAAAGATGGCTATTGTGTGATTTTTTAATAAAACCTTGAAAAACAGTTTCAGTTAGGCAAACTAAGTGGTAAGCAGTTTTAACTTTCTTGCTGGATGCATTTTGAATTCCAGTTAGTAGGTTATTGGTATCTAAGATACAATTAGATATGATATTTTCTATTAATTTGTCAAGCCAATTTGGTAGGCTTATAAGTCTAAAGTTTTTGAAATATTTAGATGGCAATTATTTCTGAGAATAATCATTAGAATAGCCATTTTCTACTTGTTTGAATAATAACCTGAGGAAAGGGAGAGGTTGTAAATTGCAGAGGTGTTTTAAGACTAAACTTAGGATTTGATCTTCCCTGGGATTTGATATTGATTTTTATTTCAGCAACTAAATGAAATGAACAATGAAATAAAATTTAGGTTTTAAGCAAATCAGATATAGGGCTGGTGAAAGCTTGTTGGAAATGTCACAGACATTTGAGATTTTATGATTCTTACATTGTGTAACATTATTCAATTTTACACGTATTTTGTAATTGATAATGGCTTCTGACTAATAAGTGGACATTCAGGTATATTTCAGTATTATTTTTGTTAATTATTTTTATTGTATGCAATAAAGTTATTGTAGTAGGTTTAAAAAGTTACTACATACGAAATATAATACAGTATTATACTATACCCTGAACATAAGGCAAGCAGCTAAACATAACAAAAAAACGTTCACTCGCATCATAAGTGATGAATCCAGAAGGGTGTAATTTGTATCTCAATCCATCTGGCTTTCTGTCCAGGAAAATAGTTGACAAAAGTGTAATACCAGCATGGATTTTTTTCTACAGTCTTAATAATCACCTTTTCATTGTAATAAGTGCAAGACTATTTAAATTTTCCTGGCCTGTTGTATTCCTTGAGTATGTTATAATTTGCTTTGGGTAAGGAAAGCTTCATATGTAGCTATTGAAGGTGCAGTAATAGTTGCTACAAGACACATCTGATGGTAAAGCTGACATATGGCTTTATTGAAATTGTTTTATTTAGAGTATTTTAACAGTGAGCAAATAACCCCTTTTCAAACATGGATATTTTTATATGCATAGAATATAATTTGCTCATTTTTTATGTGTTCAAAGTCAATGAAACTGTCATACATGTTCAATAATTCTAGAGCATTGTTGAGAAACTGTTTATTTGAATAAATTCTTGTTGGCTCAGAAAGTTGCAAAAACTGCAGTTTCTGTAAGTTGATTAAATGAACTGACATTTGTTACAGTATATTTTCCAGTATGCAGAAGTACAGGTTATGGTACTCTACTTTAGGGTTAGCTTGTGCATTGTCCAATTACCCCTCTTACTTCTCACTCTATAGCTCTCTATGGGATGCTCGGTTAGGTCTGCAGCTTTATCAAATAGAATTTGGAAAGTAATTTCTATTTTCCTGTTGATGTCTGTGTAAAGGTTATAAATTATACTCCTGCAAAAGACAATGGAATTGGCTTCCTGAAGCAGAATATTAAAAACTGGATCAGTCTGGCAGAAAACCTGGTTGTATCAATTAACATGAATGTGAAATCAAAACTCTTCAGTGTACCAATGAATCCACTTGATGCAGAGATGGCTTCATGTTAAAATTTGGTGGATTTCTAATGGAATTGTAGAAGTTGTGCACATTTTGAAGTAAAATCCCAATGATTTGGAGTGCCCAGTGGAAGTCTGCTGACATCCCAAATACCAATTTGCTTTGTTGACTTTGAAAAAAAACAAAAAAGCTTGTACTTCAGGCTAATGCTTCAAAAAATTTTTTGCTTCTTTTATGAAGTTTGCAGCTTGACTACTTACCAGGTTCAAATGGTGGACATAACAGTGTATAAAAATAGCCATGGACACCTCTTCCTTAATTTTAGCCTTAGTTCATTCAGTTGGGATGCTATCACTGCATCACTATCATTTTTTTGTATTACCATTTTTTTTTTAATAATCCAGCTCATTCATTGCACAATTAGTTCAGTTGAAAACAGTAGAATTTCTCTTTGTAAATTCCAGTTTAATATGTCTCAAGATAATTGACAGCTGTGATCTGCAAGAGAAGTAAGTAGTTTCATCCACCCACCATGCAAAAAATGAGGCAGCAGTTATTTCTTTTATACTTATCTCCTGTAGTATATGCAACAGATGAACCAAATAATTTTGAAATATTTTAGACATTCCAGTAACAGATGGTTTACTTATGTGCATGTCCAATAACCTGTCATATTTTGCTAATAAAGTAGTTAGTTCTTGAGAATTATATTTATTCGATTATTCAACAACTTCATGCCCCTGCCCCTGAATTGGTAACTTCAAAGTGGCAGCATCTATTAGTTGCTTTATTACATCTCCATTTGATTACCCCCATTTCTTTAAAGTCATACGTAACAATGTTTACTAAATGTGCTGTTACAAACTTTGGCAGCTTTTGGTAAACATTACAAGTCTGTTGTACACAAAAAATCAAAATTTTAAAGAAATTATTTCTGTGGAAGTTTTGTCTGTTAATTTCTTAAGCCTTTATTGAGTAAGTCTGAATGAAAGGGGATTTTCATGATAAGAATAAAAATATTTCTTTTCATCTTAAAAGCATAACCTCTAGAAATTCCCAAATGAATATCAAAAGTTTTTCAGTAAAACTTTTCTCTTATTTTCTCTATCCTAATACTAATTATACCCAAAAATCATTAGTGCACACTGAGATGAAATGTTGAAAAATGCAAAATAAAATCAGTAATACCATTTCGTATTTTATTACTGTACAATAAGCATACTTTCAACCCTAATAAAGCTCTATCAGTTGGTGAAAAAAAAAAACTGTGAAAAAGATTAGGTTAATCAAAATATCACTCAGTATCAGGTTACAAATCAAGAGATGCAGTTAGTTTGAGCTGATCTCGTGAAATTAAAAGTTTGTGTAATTTATGTTTTATGTAAAG